AAAAAAAGAATTGCACCGGAATTAGAAAACTAGTTTCCCGGGCCACCTACCTTCACCTCCTAGAGATAGGGTTCATCTTAGGCCGCAGCACCCACCCCTTCCCTCTCCCTCCCTTCTTTTGATATTTTTGAGACATGATTTCACATAGCCCAGGCTGGCCTTGAACTCCCCAGGATACCTTAAACTCCTGCTCTCCCTGCATCTACTTTCTGAGAGTTGGGGGTTACGGGTGTGTATTCAAGCATCAATACTAAAGCCGCCATGTCAGTCTAGCTCAGGGTCGGTGTGCTGTTTTCCTAAAGGACCAAATAGTAAATACTTTCGGCTTTGTGAGCATGCAGCTTTTTTCCATTTCCAGTGGCAGCAGGCTACCCAGGGCCTGGCTGTGAAACAGGGTGTTTGTCTAATTTGTGATATGTCATGATACAGAATTCGGTGGACATTTCCCACCAGCCACTTAAGCCTGTTAAAGCCATTCATGGCGGATTGGGTTTGGCTCAGGGACCATCTTTGCTCACCCTTGACCTGGTATCGTTCCAGAAGGCCCTGGGGAGGGTGTATGTCCTGAGAGATTCCCAAGGGTTGGGCTGGCAAGATGGCTCAGTAGTAAAGGCGCCGGCCACCCACCCTGACCTGAGTTTAATTCCTGGAATCTACGAAGTGAGAGCAGAGAACTGACTCCCAAAGGCTGCCCTCTGACCTCTCCATACACACACTAGTCCAGGCAGCCCCTCCCAAAATAAATTAATAAATGCATTTAATTAAAACTTTAAAGGAGAAATCCCTAAAGGCCTATTTATCTGTAGCCTAGTTATCTGTAAGATTTGTTTTTATCTCTGTGTGTGTTTGTCTGTGTGTCTCTGTGTATGCTTTGTATGTGTGTGTGTGCGTGCGTGTGTGCGTGCGTGCGTGCGTGTGTGTGTGTGTGTGTATGTGCGTGCATGTCTGTATATGCTGTGTGTGTCTGTTTATGCCATATGTCAGTGTATCTGTCTGTGTGTGTGTATATATGCCGTGTATGTCTGCGTCTGTGTATGCCGTGTGTGTGTGTGTGTGTGTGTGTGTGTGTGTGTGTGTGTGTGTACTCTCAGAGGCCAGAGGAGGGTGGCAGACCCTCAGAAACTGGAGTTGCAGGTAGCTGTGAGGCATCTGATGTGGGTGCTGGGTCCTTTGGAGGAGCAGGAAGCTCTCGGCTCTGCTGAGCCATCTCTGTGGCGCAGTTTTGAGCCCAGTTGTGAGTTGTCTGTAAGAAAGTAAATTCAGCAGCTCCCCTGGCCCCTGCCTCCTCCCCGTGCTTCCGTTACTGACATCAGAAATGCTGGTGCAGACGCCGCCTTCCCGCCTGCCATGTGGTGGTCAGGGTGCTGGTTCCCACCCGTCCCCTAGGGAAGACAAGAGAGGGCGATGGATTCAAGTGCTGGAGACACTGGGGCCCTGCACAGTCTCCTCGGAGGGAGAGTTTACTTTACGGTGGCCCTGCTCATTCATTCCCAGACTCTGTTTGTTCTCTGGTCCTAGGAGGGTGCCCACGGTCTAGTGCATCATTAGAGTTTTACCGTTGAGTGGCACACCCACCTGCTTGGATGCTTTGTGTTTAATCTATTTAAAAAGTTTTTGGAGAGAGGAAGTGTGTGTGTGTGTGTGTGTGTGTG